ATTTTTGGAAAAAAAATGTATTTTTACTGTTGATATGATGGAAAATATGTGGTTGAAGAACGTGTGTTTAAAAATAAGTAGAAGAATAAGAATGAAAAAAATAATGTGGCTCATACATTGCCTCAATATTCAAACTTTCATTATTCAATCAAAACATTAAAATAAATAATAATAATAATATATTTAATCGAAACATTTAGCCCCCGTTTGACACCTTATTTGAAAAAAATTTCAACCACACATTCATGCACTAAAATATTGTACATGTAAATTAAAAAAAAATTCCTATTTTTTAATCATGCATCTTTAAGAATACTATTTAAAACATTGTTTTTGAGGGAAAAAAAAAAAGGGGTGAGGGCTTATTCACGTGTCACACAATGCAGGCCGAAGCGCGTGGAACTGAAATAATTGAGTTTTGTAGATGGACGAAAAAAAGAGTGGATGGATATTGACATTCGTGGATTAGTGGATAACATAAACGGAATGTATCTCGTGAGATGATCATTCACCCCACTCTTATATCTCAGGGTTTTCTACTGGGATTTATCCGTATTTCAATTCTCGCGGGTTTTTCTTGTTTACTTTAGTCCAATTCACTTGAAATCTAGTTTTTTAGATCATGATGGAAGAAGAGGTCAACAGCCCAGTTGAAATTAACAGGTTTTAGGGCTGGGATTTTCATTCACTGCTCTCTTTTCAATCTGCTTGATGTCATGTTTATCATCTGTTTCATATTGTTCTGTTCACATGTTTTGGCTCTGCTTAAAACTTACATAAGTAACAAAAATCTAATTTTGGCTTATTTTCTTTTAGTACTTACGGAACAAAGTTAACTCAAGTTAGATACATATTGTGTACTTATTTTCAGTATATGATGTCAAGTGTTAGATAGATCCCATTCCTGGATGGAGAAAATACTCAATTTGTATGAAATTTCGAATTTTGCATTATGTTGGTGAAATGTAAAGGATTCAGGGACAGGAGAGGACGAAAAAGTGATAATTTTGTGCTTGTGATTTTACTGACAAGATGTGTAATTTGATCTCTAATTGTACTAGACAAGAAGAGAAAGTGTGTGATCATATGGTTGAAACTATCATAGAATTATTCCATCTGACGACTTAAAAGTTGAAGTGATTATGATTTGTGTTTGTTCCAAGTGTAGAATTATTTCCCTTGCAGAGAGTGAGTGCTTATGGCTGTGCTTTGGGTTTAGTTCATGTGTGTTTATGTGATTATGACGCGGATGAAGTTGTTGGAATGCCATATAGGAGTCTATATGCAAGCTGTTGCCATGTTAACCTTACTTATATAGTATTGTACTCAACAATATCAAGGAAGATAAGAAACTAAAATCTTGTCTAGTGTTCTATTTAGTACATGTACCAAACATGCCAACCGTGTATTGTATATTTATGTATATTTGTTTTTGCCTTTCCATCAATTTTCTCCATCATAGAGAACTTGCTTTGTATTAGTATGAAGTTTTAAAAATTTTAGCAGAGTCGTCTGATTTTTGCAATGTTGAATGATAGAAAAATGGTACATGTTTCTGTGGAAATTGAGAACTTGTTCTGTAGAGAATCCCTTTCCTAGTTGGAGGTGTTTGTTTACATAATTACATTCCTGCATTCGACATGGTCACATGGGCATATCTAGCTGCAAATAAAGAAATTGAATATGTTAAATGAAGCTTGCTGTTCAACATCTGTTCGGGATATACACAAGCAATTTTATCTATGAACAGTTTGTATAATGCCTTTCAACAACTTCACTTTGTTTCTATTCTTTCTAAATTTTCTTTACTTACTTATTTAAACCACGGAAGAGGAATCTGTTTAAGGAGAGTCACTGTAAGGGTTTTATTCTACTCAAATCCATGGTAATCAAATTATGTTCAATATCTTGGAATTTGGGTGTAACCCGAATTCTTTTGTTGAAGTGTTTGAAATATTGAAGAATTCTAGTTGAAGTACACGTCAAGGAGAATTCAAGTTTGGAATGCTATTGGAGTCCTATGTCAAGTTGAAATTCTATTTTGGAAGCCTATTGGGAGTTGAAAATTGGTATTGGATTTGAAGAAGAGTTTGGGATGAAGAAAGCTATTTGAGAAAAAAAATATTTGGGGCAGATTGCCCGGCGCTGTGGCGCCCACCTGGTCTGTTTCGTGTTTTCCACGTTTTTCTTCTTCTACTTCGTTTTGGACTCGATTTTTTGACATCCTACTTCTTCAACAACTATACTAAGAGCTTGTTTGAGAGAGATTTTAATCCAATTAAAATTGAAAATATAGTCGTTATTGGGTCCCACTCTTCTAATAAAAGTCAACAATAACTGTTAGTTTTTCAATTTTAATCTGATTTTAATCCCTCCCAAACAAGCTCTAAGAGGGTTTAGACATCCCCTATATGTTCCCTATAAATATTAGACTCTTCTATACAATTTATAAGTGTGAGAAAATAGATTACTAGAATTATAGGATCCATTGTAATTCTCTCTCTTCTCTATTATTATTAAGTCAATAAAATCTCTTCATTCCTCTGTCATATTTCTCGTCTTCTTTTATTCATTTGTTTGTGTTCACATGTTTCATTATTTGTCATGTAACTTCAACATCTTAATCTGTTGATTGGTGTCACAACAAGTAGTATCAATCCTAACACCGTTGATGTGGTGTTTTGCACTTACTGGATAAGAAAGATGTTTAAAGCATATTTCGCTTCATCTGTTATTGCTTTTATACCCTTTGTATGGCTAAATGCATTCCTGAAATTATTCTCACAAGCCAAAAGCATTGCAATGTGGCTTTTCTAATTGCTTTTAGCTTGACATACAATGGTGACATCAACAGAATGAAGCAGACCAGCTTTGTAGACTTGAGTAAGAAAAGGAAATTGCATGCTGAACAACTTAACATGCCTTTGCCAAAGCATATCTGCTCGAATCGAATCCTTGAATGTAAATCTGACCCCCGGGCAAAGGAGGTCTATCCATGCCTAACTATGGGAGAAATTAATGGATTGGCAAGAGGATATGAAACGGATACAGAATCTGCAAAAGATAGCAATAGTGAAGAAAAGATTGAACTCGGATCTCCAAAAGCATGCTCATCTGATCAGCCTTCCACTTCTTCTGTTAGTTGGGATTCTTTTAAGAACAGTGTTTATTCTTTGGAGAGCAGATCGTTGACAAAATCAAGTTCTAGTAAAGCTGAGTCGTCTAATTTCAGCGGGGAGCATGATTGTCCCCATCGTAATTTTGGATTGAATCCCTCTCTGAACTACGAGGAGCATCTCCTAGAGTTAGTAAGCCATGTAGAATGCAGTTGCTCAGAATACAGGATCAATAGCATTGGGGATTATACGGATAAGGAACTTGAAGATGTGCTCTACTCCAATGGTGTGGCTCCCAGTAGTTACGTTCTTTCGTCTGGAAGGTGGACTGTTAACCAAGGTAACTGGGTTTACTCTGAGTTCTACCTGTTTCTACTCCCACCCAACCTCCACCCAAGTGATCCAGGATATTTTACATTTTATAGTGATTGTTGCACGTTCAGCAATCTTATTAGAGTTATTTATATATTTTCAGTCTTATTCCCCCCACCCACCACCCCAATTGTTTGTATGTCCGGTTAAGTTGAGAGTCTATCTCTTTCTCTGTATATGGATCTCATGTTAACTCTATTGCATGTTCCCCAACCGTTTAATGATAAGAAATTTGTGTTTTTCCAGATACAGATACAGATGCTCAACCTGGGACGAAGAAACTAACCATTGATAAGGAGTTTGAACAGTACTTTTCCATGCTTATGCTGTGACAAAGATCAATCATATATGGATGGCTAAATATACAATATTTGTGCCTGTGTATAGCCCGTTAGATTATCAGCGTGAGAATAAAGATTCCCTTAATTGATCCAGCCTGTATTGTTGTATCGTAATTGAACGTAGTAATGTTATGGACCGAGTTTTGTTCTTACATGTTACATTGTCCTATTTTCTCTTTTCTTTTTGTTGTGGGAAATTTATATTGTGGTTGCTGAGGAAAAAAGAACTCCACGACAGCTTTGCATGATCTGCTCTCTCTCTCTCTGATATTTGATGGGGAGATTTCATTACATTGTAGATTTTTTGCATTTCCTTTCATCTCGTTATACTATCCTTCGGTTTTACTGGTTTGCTTTTTATGTATGCAAGTTATTTTTTCCTGTAGTTGTTTTCTAGATTCATACAGCTGTTCCAGTGTCTCGGGTATTGATTTTCAACACCTCAACTGATTCAGAATTGAGGGTAAAATCTTCTTCTTCAGGTAGTCATTGATCCTTTTTGCCATGAATGTGTTGCTTCATCCTGTCCATAATCTTCTTTCTTGTGAAATCATTTTAGAGTCAGACTTGCTAAGAGAAGACTATAAGGAAAGAAGTAACAAGAACTGTATCTGTATCACATCTGGAAAACTGAAAATTAAAGAACGTTTTGCAAGTGAAGGTACAAGGATAAGAAAATCTCAAGTTGCCTCTTCAACTGTTCCCTCCTTTTTTGCGAGCGGACTGAAGTAACACAATTGAAGGGCTTATCTCGCTTCTGACTTCACACTCAACAAAAGAATTACGTAAATTAATTCAGATAGGAAGACAAGAAAACTTAAAAGTTGAGGAGTCCATGTGGATTCAATCACAGCTGTCAACATTTTGGAAGATCTGACGGTGGTGGCGGTAATTTTTGACTCGGTAGTGGCCCATCCATTACAATCCAAGCCATCCTCAAGCCCCAACTTGTGTGCACATCGAAGTGGCAGTGCATAAGCCACACTCCTGTTCATAATATAAATAACTAATACCAGTTACCACTGCTAGTTCCACATAAGTAATATACTTTCATGCGCTCAGTTCAGTACACCAATGTATCTATTTTTTCACTTTCTCACATAGTGAAGTGTTTCACTAGGTGAAAGTAAACACACATATCACAATATGGAATAGTAGACACATTAGTTTATCACTCACCATGCATGTAAATTTGCCTCGCAAAAGTAACTAATGTTTTGTAATTCGCACCTGGATTGTCTGCTAGGAATCGAATGGCTACCCAACCACCAGATGGAACGCCAATTGTGTTCCTTTCAACAGGATCCACCAGGTTGAAATTGGCTCGGTCCTGGTTTGGGTTGTAGTTTCCAAATCCTTGACCGACAACGAAGAAATTGAAGCCATGTAGGTGAAGAGGATGATTTTCAGCGCCCAAAATGCTCGTCTCCTGGAGAACAAGCTCCACACTGGTGTTGAATGGCAATTCAACAAGACGTGTTGCATTGCTGACTAGGGTGTTGTTGGGTGGAGTACCCGTGTAGTTAAATGGATTTGGTGGGTTGATGGGAAAATCAGTGGTATAGACACCATTAGAATTTTTGGTGACGTGGGC